TCCTATAAAAATAACTTTAATCTTAAAAGGTAGTATTTTATATATATTTAAGAGGAATTATTATAACTTAGCTAATTATCTTATAAATACTACCTTTATATTTAATTATTATGTAATTTTTTGCTATGTAATTATTTTTATTAATAACTTATAACACAAGTCCAGGCTTATAACTATTATATTATAAGACTTATTATTACCTAAGCTTATTTATAAAATTTATTATTCTTATTTATATTTTCCCTCTTTATTATTTAAAAGAATTTATATTATTTATCTTAAGCTAAGAAAACGTCCCAGCTACCCTGATTTTATCAGGTAGCTGGCCAGCCTCTTAAACTCCTGATATTGATAATTTTATGACATCCAGCAATTACGTTAAGTCTGCTTGTTCAATCAACAGAGGCAGCCTTATCCGAAAGTCTGGCATGAGCTGTTTAGGGTGTCTGGACCGAGCGGGCTACATATCAATGTCCCTGTCAAACTATATACCTTCACCTATTATAATAGACTCTGGTATTATACTACAAAGTCCCTTACTTTGCACTAGGTAACTATTTATGCTTCTGATAATACATGGATCTAAGCTGATTCAACTGTTTACCCTTTGTTTACGAAGTGTCATAGAACAAGACTAGAAGAACGATGAGTTAGGCAACTTAAAATTTGGAGGTTTTCACCTATTCCCCTTGGTACATCGGTGCAGTACATAAATCCGTAGCTATATAACAGCTGATCGTGACGGATCCCCAAATGCTTGCTACAGTTGAGGTATTGTGCTCTCCACATACTTCAACAAGTAGGTCCCACTGGAATCTACAGAATGCCACTTGAACTTCCTGCGCATCAATTATACGTCAGCGGCGCACACCTTAACTACCTAGGCTTGTCATGTTGCACATGATCGCTAAGAGATGGTTTTCCGGCGATATAGGTAAGATGGGCAATCAGTCGAAATACAAACTCTATCGTTCTGTTATGACGGCTTAGGCGGCTGCTTTCCTGGAATATACTTAACTACATCTATTATCTGGCTCAAAAAGGTATAACTATAAATACCAGGTCTGAGCCGTGGAAAGTCTTGCAAAACCTCGACTTCCTAACTGAATTTCTACTTGTGAAAAAAAAAGGCAGCAGTAAAATGGCATCCAATCAAATTGAACACGCATTGCAATACAAGTTCAAAGACCCTGCACTTCTTGAAGAAGCACTCGTGGCAGCTGGTGCAGGCCCTAAGAAAGCCAAGACCGCAAGAGAGAAAGGGAACAAAGTGCTCGCACTAATTGGGGATGCCCTACTGCGCCTCGTGCTTGTAGATGACAGTGTTGTTGCAGGACAGGCTCCTGGTAAAGGTTCTCGGCGGAAGGTGGTATGAAGCGAGGCTAATATTCAATAGGTAAATGTCAGCATATTATTTCAGCCGAAGCTTCTAACAACAACTTGCAAAAGCTTCAGCAAGAGTGGGAACTAGCAAGGTTTATCAAAACTCCATTCAAGAACAAGGGTAACGTCCCTCGCACGACAGGTGCAGCAACTATGGAGGCTCTCGTGGGGGCCGTGTGGCTAGATTCCGGTCGCGATCTGTGTGTCGTACACCATGTGATTCATAATCTTAAGATTGGACGCTCCTTCATAGCAGGGAATATGCATAACTATGGAGATATGTAAAGATATCAGATTGTCGAGTAATATCAAGCAGGAAATATAGATTGAATGTTATCGTCTGACTGTACAGCATGTATCGTCGTGAAACACCGAGCACTTCTGGTGAGGCTAGAGCAGAAAGAGGCAGATGTACGCGCGATGTCTGCGGACAACTGGGCAATCTGTAACAGCTGGCCCGCTAAAGGAAGAAGCTAAAATGTGTTAGCCAGAAGCCGGTGTCTAGGGAACTCTGCGCAAGTTCCTCGGGAAAAGAGCGCGTTCTCAACTTTACAGCAAGCGCGTTTCATGGTTTCTGTCATCATCGATCCCGGCGTCTCATTTAAGCGCTGGCCGATGACATATGGCCACACCATGCACGACATTCGCTGGGAAGCTATTCTTTCATAGGGTGTCGGCGGCCAGTGACATTGCCTCACGAAGCGCGGGGCTGAACAGCGGTCAATCCCAAATTTGTAGCCAATCAACCTTGCATGGCCGCGTCACATCTACCTTCGCCCCTTTGCCTGTCAATCCATGAACTCATTCTCCTCAACCCATCGTCGCGACACATAAAATAAACATACCCCGTGTGCATCGGACATGGCATTCAGCAAAGAATGGTTGCACCTCTAGGTTCGAACGACCAAGCGATCAATTTGGTTGCTCGCAAGCGACAGGCGGATTTGCCATTTGTCGAAGAAACGAAGCAACTAGCCCGCCCCGGGAACAAGTTTTTGATCTTAAATAGAGAGCTGCGGACGGAGTGTGCAGCACTCGGGACAACAAGAATAATAATTTCGCAGAATGAAGCTGTGGCGCACGCGCCTGCACACCATCCAGGGTCGAGCAAACGCAGGGTCCTGGGAAAGTGTCCGGGTCGCCCAGCCAGCTCCCTGCATGGATCGCCGTGAATTATTCGGAAATGTGATAGCAATGCTGCAAACCCCCAAAAATTCTGCCTGATATCGCAAATGTGTGTGTGTCTTTAGGATTGGCTAGATGATGCGTGATCAGAGCGCTTAAAGCTGTGCCTAAAGAGAATATAAAGAATCATAGCGTTTCTTCCCCCACCAGACAACGTGGCACCACGACGTCTCTGCAAAAACAAGCCGTCATCCCATCTACAAAAAGCCTTGGACATCATAGGATATCCTTGTAGACTCCCGCTGTGCCCTATCGCTTCGAAATGCCCGTGGATCCCGCATCCGACCCCAACTTCGACCTCCCCAAGACCGAGGGCATGCCTCCAGCTGCGTAGGTTTGTCCACTCCCTACTCGAGGCGTCGACTGACGTTGTAGGGCTGCACAAATACCTCCTCAACCTGCAGGGCATGTCCATCGGCGGGCTGTGGGAGCGGTGCTCCTTCATGCTGACCTCGGCGCCGTTGAACATCCCCTGCCGTCTTGGCTCGCCGCCAAACACGCTGGCCGGCTTCTAGCCATCCGACAAGTGTCGTAGACCCTGATGCCGGCGGCGTGTTGTAGAGAGCCAAAAAGAGAGAGCCAGCATTGAAGCCCGAGCCTGTAATTCATCTCCTCCGAGGCCGCCTGCAGGCCTCATAGCCGGGGAGCCGTTGTTGTTGAGTAACTGCTGTCGTCGAATTCGGGCTCCTTGGATTGCCGCTGATAACGAATCCAACATTGTCGTTTCATTTAATTATCCCTTCGGGGACCCTGCCGGGGGCCGCCTGCGGCGAGCTGCGGCCTGCGGCCGGCTTCAACGCAAGTAATACTACCACATGGATTTTAAGAAGTTCACGACGCTACGTGAGTCGCGCTACTTTTTTCCTTAATTAGTTGTCAAAGCGTATTTCATATTTAATTCACCAAATACTTAAAAACGGCCTCTTATATCATATTAGAGGTAAAAGGAAGCTGTAGCCTCCGTTTGCCAACGTGTTGATTTGCCCAACTACAATTCACTCCATTGCCTAACAAATTGCACTCGACTCCAAGACCAAGTTTAACAAAGGCTGCTACATCCCAGACGCCTACATGTGAATGCTCGCTCTAAAAGTCATATTCATCTCTACCAATCTAGCCTGCTAACTTGACCGCGGATACAAGCAGTTTTCTGTTTTCATCCCCGCATATAGTCTCAGTATTTCTGACTTTGCAAACCAACAGAAAGACATTGGCACAATGCCCGTCGCAGCAGATTCGTCAATGTATTTTTCCTTTTCAAGACTGCAGCACGCATAGAAGAAGAGATAAATGCCCGTTGCACAAGACTGCAATAACGACAGTTCGTGTCAAGATATGAAATGGCTGCAACAAGAAACAATCTGCAATAAAGACAGTCCGATCAAGTCGCAACAAACTATAATGACAGTTTACCAGATACGCCAGACGGCGAATGAGCGACAACCCCCTTCCACGACAGTACAAATACAGGGTAGGTTCCCAAAGAAGAACAATTCAACTTGAAATTTAAAATTCATTCACGCAGGTATCAACGTCACGCAGAATTAAATGCAAACCGCAAGGGCAGCTGGCAAAGAAGAGGAAACAAGAGCAAAACAAAAAAGAAAAAGTGAGGGAATAAAGCAAAGTACTAAATTTGACTGATGACATATCCCCGGTAGACTAGTATCTCCAACGCCAATTCATAAGGTGAGACTCAAGAAAATCGAGTGCGTTGTGTCATAGTAGTATCAGCAGAGCAAAGATTTTGATTTTGAACAAACAGCGTCAAGACGACGAACGTTTCTGACAAGGAAAAATCAGTCCCAACGCCCCAACTCTCTCTCCCCAGGCAAAGCCTCCAGAACGGCCGCCGAGAACAAAAGAAGAACATCAAAAAAGAGCTCCCCCAAAGTCTGCTTTGGTCTGGCTTGTCCCCAGTCCGTCAACAATGTCGAAATGAGTGAAAGTGTGACTTCCTCCAGTTTACTGGTCACTACGGTTAGCTTACACGGTGTATAGCCAACAAAAGGGGAGGCATCGATCCATCCACAAACCCCATCACTCTATGCACTCACCTGAGGAGGCACGGCAGGTCCGGGGGGGCCGGGAGGTCCAGCAGGTCCCTGAGGGCCAGGGGCAGGGCCGCCAAAGTGCTGAGGACCGTAGGGACCAGGTCCGTGGTTGGGCATGCCCATGTAATGAGGAGGAGGGGGGGCAGGACGGTAGGGGGTACCAACTCCAGAGTTGTTCTGCGAGCGACCCCAGCTCAGGCGCACTCGAGAGTTGCCAATGGGGTAGCCCTGCATCTGGTTGATGGCCATTTCCGCAGCGTGGCGGTGCACGAACTGCACGAAGCCACAGCCCTTGCCAGGGGGGATCTTGACGTAGGTGATCTCTCCGAAGCCCTGGAAGAAGGATCGGAGCTCATCCTCGGTGACGTAGCCAGAGAGCCCACCGACAAACACGGTAGTGTTGTTGGGATCGGTGAACTGGTTCATCTGGGTTGCAGGATTGTAGCCGCCGTAGGGGAAGCCTTGCATCCCTCCCCACATGGGTTGCTGAGGAACGCCGCCCATCATAGGAGCGCCGCCAGCGTGGTGGCCAGGTCCTCCGAATCCGTGGTTACCGCTGAATCAGCTGTTAGCGACGCGGAACCTCGCCTGTCGGGGTCTCCTCCCGAGTAGGACGGGCGCGAGGGGCTTACCGGTTCTTGGGAGTAGCAGTAGAGATTCTCATAGGTCTGTTACCGCAGTAAACACCTTGCATCTCAACCAAGGCACGCTGCTGGTCATTCTCATCGGAGAAGCGCACGAAACCATAGCCTCGGCTCTGACCAGACATGGCGTCCGTCATGATCTTGGCAGACTTGCATGAGGGGAAGCGAGCCTGGAAGAGAGAGACCAAGACGTATTCGTTGACCTCGGGGCCAAGGTCACCAACAAAGATGCTGTACTCGGGGCCGCGATCATCACTGTACCAACACGGCTTCCATCAGTATATTCGACGACGAATTGTTGCATAGGAGGTTGAGCCTCAGCTCCCAGGGGGTACTCACCGTCGGTCCACAAGCCCACCGCCAGACGCCCAGTTAAGCTTGAACTGGCGAGAGCTATTAGGAACGGGCGTGCCGTTGAGGCCAAGTGCCTTAGTAGCGGCCTCGGGCGTTGTAAATTCAACAAAGCAGTAGCCCGCATTACTGCACAAGTCATTGTCAGAACCGGCATGATGCATTCAGGAGGAACATCAAACGTACCCAGAGTTCTTGTCACGAATCACCTTGACATTGACAGTCTCTCCAGCAGCGGACAGAAAGACGCCCTTAATGAAATTCTCGTCCATCCAAGGCTCCAGCTCTCCCATCCTTTCTCCAAGCGTCAGCGCCCAATGCTCTGGCCATAGTACAAACGACATGAATTTCCTTACCAGAGAGTGGTCTTGGGTTGCTCAGGGCCACCCGCGGGCGGGGGCACGGCAGCCATGTCAGGGGCAGGGGGAGTTCCGTTAGGGAAAGACATTTCGCTATCTGCAAAAAAACCTAATGTCAACTTGCCGTTTTATTCCATCTGCGGTGCGGTTCCCGAGCGCAGATGCCTCGAGTTCTCCGCAGGACAAAACGTAATCCTCAAACTCACCAATGAATGGAAAATTTCTGGGAAAGTCTCGAGAAGGTTAAGAAACCGTGAAATTTTATGTCACTAGTAATTGTTAGGGTCACAGGTCTCGCTCGCGCTGCAGTATTCGGGTGTATGCAACAAGAAAAACCTACAAGAAGTTATGAAGGTATCAAGACACCGCGACGTTTGAGAACTATGCAAGGTGATTAGTTTCAGTTTTTTTGTCTCGTTGAAAAGCCAATATGCCAGCATACAGATAAAGGAATCGAAACCGGGGAAGATCCTGAGATATTGAAATCGTAAGATCTACAGATTCAAATTAGTACATTTCCTCAGACATATGTATCCACATCCCCCATCATCACATGTATAGTCAGCCACTGGCTTTGCATACCTTTAGTTTACAACAAGGCTCTAGCCCTCCCAAGGATGCTAATTTATCGAATCGAAACGGAAACCGAAAACGAATCGAGAAAGGCGGTATCCAG